CTGATTGAAATCAGTTGTGTTGAAGTAGGGTTAAAACTAAAACCTGCTTGGTACTGGCCCTCCAGGACCAGGATTGGGTTCCCCTAGTTTATAAAAATATACAGAGGGGTTTGTGCAAGTTCTCCCACTTAAAATGATGAGAGAGGCCTGTAATTTTCACCATAAGTATACCTCCACCGTGAGAGGCATGAGAAAAAAAAATCCAGAAATCACATTGTCGGATTATTCAAGAATTTATTTGCTAATTATGATGAAAAAAATCTCACACAAACAAGCAATATTCCCAGCTGTCCCAGACCTGCACCTGTAGACCTGCAACTGTAGACCTGCAACAGGCTGGGATGACAGAACCTGCAACAGGTAAGCAGCTTGGTGTGAAGACATCAACTCTGGTAGCAATTCTTAAAAAGCTGATAAAGCCCCACCTGAGCCAGACCACTAAACCCTAACATTCTAGTTAATAAACTAAATAAAACCCAAACCTGAGAGATTAAATGCAGAAAATAACAACCCAGCTTTGGAAATGACTAAAGGAAACCCGTCTCATGCTGCAGATCTGTGCTTAAAGCTCATTCCTGCTCTTTTTCTGGTCCTTCTCCTTGTGGAAGACTTCTCCATCCGTCTGTTTCCTCCAGCTCAGGCGGACATTTCCATTCACTCCCTGATCCTTCAGCTTCTGCTGGAGCTGAAACACAAACATTCATTCATTTATTTTAACACCTGCGGTGGCAAATACACCTAAGCTGTCCTCTTTTCTCTCATCTTCTAGAACCTTCAGTGCAGTTTGTTAACGTTAGGGAGCAGTAGAGGATCTATAATGACTGATAATCCAGTAGTTGTTTGCTAGTTGTACCATTACTATAGCCATCCTCAGAGCCGAAACGTTAGCAGAACAAGCTAAAGAACAACCCTTTTTTCTGTGTTTTGAAAGAACCAAGCAGTGCAAGTTGACATAAAACACAGAAAGAACGTACAGAAGATCTTTTATTCTTTGTCATTTTAATCTTAACCTGCTTAAATAACTCTTTTAATTTTGTCTCGACAGAATTATGAGTGCATCTTCAGCTAATAAGACGGATTTGAAGACATTTGACACAAACATTAAGACAAGAACAGTGGGCACAGAGGGAGTGAGCAGGTCAGAGGGTGCAGGACATTTAGGGCTTTGAAGACAAAAATCAGGATCTTGGTATCTGTAAGAGGGACAACCCCACTATTCATGAATGTGACTCATTTATGAATAAACGAATAACTTTTATTTGTTTGACTGTCTCTCCCGATGCTTTAAACGTCTCCACGTTGACGTTTGTAATAATCCAGGAAAGTGCTTCACCTGTTTCTGCAGATTTTCCAGCAGAACAGGATCATTCAGGTCCACAGAGGAGCTGCTCACCAGCTTCAGCCTCACCACTCGCTTTGAAACAGGAACTTAGAGGAACAGGAAATGAGTCGTCAGCACTTTCATCATCAATGTAGTTTTTTATTTATCTAAGAAGCTGAGAACAGGCGTAGTCATGGCAACGTCTCCTCCTGGTGATTGTTAGAAAGGCCATGAAGGAGTGTGTGTGTGTGTTGTGTGTGTGTGTGTGTGTGTGTGTGTGTGTGTGTGTGTGTGTGTGTGTGTGTGTGTGTGTGTGTGTGTGTGTGTGTGTGTGTGTGTGTGTGTGTGTGTGTGTGTGTGTGTGTGTGTGTGTGTGTGTGTGTGTGTGTTGATGTTTTGCACAATAAATGTTCTTTGAATGTTATTTTACACACTTTAGAAGTTTCTGATCGGCCTCGATGTGAGAATGTTCTTAAATAATCATGTTGACATAAATAAAAAGACAAACAGAATATATCACAGTAAATATCAGTAAAACACTGCGGATGGTGACTCACCGCTGTAGCAAACAAAATAATTCTTCTTTTCACATCCCGTGTCCTCCCATCCTCCAGACACGTCGAGGTTCGCTGCACCGCAGTTCTCCGTGCCGCCGTTGGGTTCCCCGCTCCTCCAGTACGTAAACGAAGAGTTGCTTCCGTCCGACCACTTCCAGGTGTCTCTGTACAGACCGATCCAGGCAGCTTGTCCTGATGTGATCAGCTGCTTCACCTGCTGGTTCTCTGACAGGTTCCTCACGCTGGCCAGGTCGGTGTGGTGCTGTCTGCAGTAGCTCTGAGCATCGGTCCAGTTCTTTTTGGTGCTGATGAAGATGAACGCTGCATTCAGCCCTGAAAGTGGACGATTACCCAAATGAATCTTTTTTATTGACAGAAAGTATTTAGACAAAATAAACACAGAAATTAGGAGCTCTGCTGGGTTGTGGTTCTAGACAGGTAAAGTTCTCACCGTTGACATTAAAGCAGATGAAATATTCAGTGGAAGAGCAAATAAAGTCACCCCACTGCCCTGTAGTCCTAATCTTAGCACAACTCTCTCCTATTCCTGCATAGTTATTCGGTTCTCCGGGTACCCAGAGTCTGAACGTCTCATCATGTTGGTAGAAGTTTGGGTCTGACATGGACCACCTCCAGCTGTTCACATCATCATACCATCCGATCCAGAGGAGCTGGAAACAGAAATGAAAAGTTGGTATTGTGAGCATTTAAACAGGGTTCTCTGATATGTTCCTTTTTTAGTCAATTTCAATATTTTTGAACTCTGGAAAAACTGTCATGACTCCCAGGCTGACACCCTCCTCAGCCTCAGCTGCCTCCTCCATCAAGCCCTGTCATCAGCTCATGCTACACACCTGCCTCCTCTGCTATACAACACCCGGCCTGCCATCCAACCATTGTCAGATTATTGAAAGCCACAGCTGGTAAATTCTCCAGCCTTCCAGCCATCGGCTGTCTCATGTATGTCGACCCGGTTCCGTCTCCCTGCTTTGGACCCCTGCCTCGTTCCCTACCACGCTATTTGATTTCTCGTATTATCGACATTGGATCTGTCCCCTGACTTTAAGCTCTTGCCTACCTCCTCGGATCTCTCGCCGTCATCTCTGGTTCTGACCCAAGCTTCCTCCTCACTGCAACCCAGCCATCTCTCTCAGCAGTGTTGGTGACAAGCTCCTGAATTGTTTTAATAAACATTTTAAACGTCTTAAATGTGTTCAGTGTCCTCACGGCGGGTCTGAAATTCAAGCTCAGGTCATTACCAAAACATTTCAGTTACAGAATACTGAATACCTGCTTTAAAATGCATTTTCTAATATAGTCCGTGACTTTGCTTAATCCTGGTACTGTATCCTAAATACTTGGATTAGTTCCCCTTATAAACAGCATCTAAGTCTATGAAACGTCACAATATGTGCCAGCAGCCACTCCTGCAGGAAAACAGAGGGCGTATTAATGCTAAACGCTATGAACTGACAGGAAAAACAAATAAAGCAAAGTAATTAGTTTTGGCTTATTTTTATTTTATCAAAGTGTCAATAGATTATTTTTCTGTAATAAAGGGAAACTTTTCTACAGGAGCTGCAAACAGATTCAGTGTGTTTATTTAGAAAAAGCACCTCTTATTTTGAAGGGGATGCTCCATATTGGCTTTTTTACCAATATCTGATATCCTTTATTGTCTGACTCTTAAATTCTCCCCAATAAAAAAAATAATTTGGGTCACTAACACGACATACTGTAAGTTGGGTCATCAGTGAAAACTGATATTTTCCGATATCACATTTAAAGGCCAGTAATGGCTGACAATATTGGACATTCCTAATTATTTATGTTTTTATGTCGTTCTTTCACGGTGTAATGGCGGACTGCCCCGGTGACTGACATCCGTAGCGGTCTAATCACAGCTCTTTAATCGTTTGGTGGGCTAATCGCAGCGCTGGTGGGCGAGATGTCACTGATACAAATTTGGCGTCGGCTTGTTTGGACTATTTTGACGTGGGTTTGTCTTTGACTCAAGGGCAGATAGAGGTAACAAAGTTCTTTTAGAAAGAGGATGTGTTTGCATCTTTGACGGCGGACTGCCTCGTCGGGTGACATCTGTAGCGGTGAGTGTGTCACGTTGTTGTTATCCAATAGCATGCAGGGACAGCCGTAAATCCCTCTCCATAACTGAGAGCTGTAAAAGGACCGTGGCCAGACTGACCCACGCAGACACATTGTCCAAAATGTATTTGTTCATCTTTCGGGTGGAAATTTGAAAACACACAAGTAATCCACTGGGATTACAAAAGTAATTGTATTCTACCTTGTTTAAAAACAGCAATTGTAACAGAATAGTTACTCTAAGTATTCTAAATACGTAATGGTGGTACAAGTATTCCATTACTCAACAATGAATGATGGAAAATGTTCAACAGCATTGATTGTATTTTATTCTGTTTATATTTGGTAATCTTAACTTTTTAACGATTTTCGTTTTAGTGCCAGTGGAAATGGTTATAAATGACTGATCTTTTTAAATGTTATAAAACAAGAGAGGAACTGATCTTACATAGGTGTTTGGATCGACCCTTTTGGTCAAATCTGCCTTGTTTTTCAGGATCGTCACGTCCTCCAAGTTCTGTATCGTCACCAGGTCAGTGTACGTCTCTCTGCAGTAACTCTGAGCTTCAGTCCAGGTCTTCAGGTCATAAATAAAATGAAACTCACGAGCAGGAAGAGATGAGGCAGAACACAGAGCTGCAGACACACAAGAACACACCTGGTTGTTTATAAAGACTCAAATGCAAGAAAAGTATTACTGTACTTAAAGTACTGATGTTCTGAGTGCTGCAGACACACCTGATGAACAATATTCTTATGAATAGGACACGTAGACATGAGTCTGTGAACATAAATATTTTACCTGATATGATGGTGATGCACAGAAGAACCTTCTCCATCGTTGCCTTTTGGTCGTTCTCCTTCAGTCCGTGGCTGCAGGTATTTAGCAGCTGCAGAAACACGTCATTCGTGTTACTGGTAGAGTATATTTTTGGTTTTGCTGGAACCATCAACCACTCCGAATGCAAACGTCTGACAAAAGTTCTGCCGGTTTCATTTACATTATTTGCCTTTGTGAATATTTGCATCGAAGGGTTTTTTAAGTTGAGCAGTGCTGTTCAGGTGGCTTTGGCAGGGTGCTGAGAACTATAATTGCTGGAAAATCAAACCACCACAGAGGTTTCTGAACCAGGCTTGAGTTGGAGGAGGAAACTCAGCATATTGCATGGAAGTGTCAGGGCTGTAATGTGGGCCTGTATTGTCAGGTCCTGTCTCTGGCTGCAGCATCAGGAATTCAGACAGATGAAGAGGAATGCAGGAAGGTGGAGAAAATATCCATCCATCCATTTTTGGCCCATTATCCGGAGTCGGGTCGCCAAGGGCTGCTCACCATTTAAAAAAAGTTTTTATCTCTGTTATGGAAAAACTTTTGTTTATTCATTCTTGATCATGGACTCAATCAACTGAATGTAAATGTATTGCTCTATGCCACTCTGCATGCTCACTCATTCACACACACACACACACACACACACTCACGCGCGCACACACACACATATTAAATCCACAGCACAAAATCATAATTTACGCGTCAAATAATACAACCACAAACACTGTTCGATCTTTATTATTATTATTATTATTATTAATATTTACTTTTCTGTTATTTATTAACATACAATTTTATACATTTAGTTACTTATTCCACCTTATTCACATGAAGGCGTCATATTTATCTACTCACACATACATCTATGGGTGCACTGAGGTTTGTCTCATGGAACGTACATGGAGCTGGCTCCAGAGAGAAAAAATTAAAGATTTTTGATCCGCTAAAGAGAGTGCAAGCAGACATAATATTATTTCAAGAGATTCATAGATCTGCCACATTCGCAGATGAACTTAAAACACCTGAGTTTCCCAGCATGTTCTCTGCCTGCTATAACTCTAGGCAAAGAGGTGTAGCTATTTTAATACACAAAAACATCAATTTCCAGTACTGGACACAGTTTCTGATCCAGAGGGTAGATTTATAATGTTAAAAATATCTGTACAGAACCAAAGCTTATGTATTGTCAGCATATACTGTCCAAATATTGATGACCCTTCATTCTTTCGTAATTTTTTCTCTGTACTCTCCGAAAACTTGGACTGTCCACTTATACTTGGAGGCGATTTTAATTTTTGGATGAACTCTTTAACAGACAGGCTCAGTACAGCTGGGACTCAGCGCAATTGGCAATCCACTAACGTAGTTAAACAGTACATGAGGGATTTCTCTTATTAATGTTGATCTCAAAATAATTTGTAAAGCCCTGGCAAAAAGATTAGAGAAGGTAACCCCCTTCATTATACACCGTGACCAAACTGGTTTCATCAAGGGTAGACAGCTATCCACAAACTCACGTAGATTACTTAATTTGATTGATTTCTCTTACAGTAGAAACATAGAAACTAATATATTATCTCTTGTAGTGTGGTTAACTACATTCTAGAATTAACGCTGTTTGCTATCAGCTTTGTGAGATTCTGAAGAAAAGATCGGACATTAGCAAATGAACTTTTGTTATGCACAAATATCTAGGATATTCATGCAATCGATAGACGTTCATACACTAACTGTCTTGGTCTATATTTTAATCCAAAGATTAATGTTTAATTTAAGATAATTAAATGTAATAGCAAAAGTTCATTTATTGAATCAGAACTTTAAAGGAATCTTTGCTTATTCAATAACCAAAAATATACACCATTCCATGTTTCATTTCATAGAAGAGTCAGACTTTTGAAAGTTAAGAATTTATTACTAACACTTTTAAAAAATGACTATTTGAAATGACAATTTGTAACTGACAATTTGAACAGCTTGATATTAAACCTTGTAATCAAACAAACCTGTGTCTGGATGGAAAACTAAGGTGGAATGCGAGGTTTTGGATGCATCAATGAATCTCAGAAGGTTTCTTTCAGAGAGAGAAGTGCGTTCTGGGTGGGAAACGATGTTTTGCAGCTAACTCAGTTGTTTATTAGAGAAAACAGCATCAGACACCATCTGTGTGGTACCTCACACAGTTAGACGACCCTCTCTGTGAATCCGGAGGTCAAAGGAGGATGTTGTCAGCCTCAGGGTACTCGGTCCGGTAGAGAAGACCCGAGTGGAATCGACTCTGGTCTGGAGATGTCACAGGGTACACGGTGTCGAGCTTGCGTCTGGCTTAGCTCTGAAGGAGTTTTGTGTCAGCTGGTTACAGGTGCGTTTATTCGAAGCAAGTCTATCAACATGACAGAATGCTTAGTAGAGACTTGGGTGGCCGTCCGTCGTCCCCTAGTATGGTTCAAGAACTGACTTTCAGCTGCAGAGATTTGGTTTTAACAAAACCCCAGAACACTCTCAGCATCAGAAAGCTTGTTGTTATGGAGTAAAGACATGTGAGATGGTTTGCCTTTACCCTGGATTCCCCACTGCATGAGGTGGTTAAAGTGCAAGTGACCTTATGGTTTACTGAACACACATTACTGATTATCATAATAATTATTATTATTACCCAAAGCATAATAAGTCATTTCAGTAATTAAAATACATTTATACTGAACCAAGATGATTATTTATGAAGATTGTAATAAACAGTAATAAAGTCAAAGAGTTTATTAAAATTAATATTGAAAAATTATTATTGTGAAATCTTGAAGTGTCCTTCATCTTGGGACGGAACAGCAGCAGATAAAGATGGTGATTCAGCAGACATCACGGCTCC